TCCCAAATTTCTAAATATTATGGTGAAAACACTCTCTTTATATTTCAGTTTTAGATACTGTTTAAAGTATTTTTTTACTGTGGAAACTAAGATTTTAGTCTTTGACACCCCCTCCCTCTCACCATATTCAGTCTCCTCCATCCAATCAAGGCAATTACAGTACCCTAAGTATCCCTAAGGGTGCCTCAAACTTCAGCACCACGGACAGTGGAAACCTGGGCGATAGCTAAGATGCCCAGAAGTGATGCTATCTATGCTTAGTATTTCTTTAATGGTAACACTTTCATATTTTGTAGAAATAAATGCCTAGAGATGGGTGTACAAATACTTGCATGTATCATATACACAGTTTTAGGAAAATCATGAAACTCATGAATACAACACAACAGGGCATTTATTAGTTTTACTTTTTTTTTTTAAAGACAGAACTTTTAGAGCCCTCTGTCATCCTATTCAGTTTTGATCTCCATGCTTTCTAGGCTGCTGCTCGTTGTTACTCTGTAATTCTCTTCTCCATCCTTTGTTTTGTCTGACTTCGCTATTGAATCTCATGTTTCCCTGAGTATCATGTCTTTCTTTCTTAATACTTGCTTAGTTTTAGTGACTTACATGTTCGCCAGTAACTTCTTCAGAAAGGTATCTGAAAATATAGTTGTTCCATCCCTATGAATAATTGGCACTTTAGCTGGATATGTAATTTGATCATGAAAATTACTTTCCTGCAGAAGGTTTTAGGTTCTTCAGCACTGAGATTCTATCTCACCCCAGAAAGAATGGCTATCACCATATGAACCAATAACAAACACTAGAGGGGCTGTAAGGAAAAAGGAACACTTCTCCACTATTGGTGGGAATGTGGACTGATACAGCCATGGCAGAAATCAGTGTGGACAGTCCTCAAAAAACTAGGATTAGAGGTCCATTCCACCCAGCTCTTCTCTTTCTGATATTTTCCCAGAAGAATTATAAACATCATACCACAATAATATTATGTGTATCCATGTTTATAACAACACAATTTGTAATAGCTACATCTTGGCAACAACCCAAATTCCCATTAACTGGGGAATGGATAAAAAGATGTGGTCTTGTTATAGAATGGAGTACTACTCAGCTATAAAGAAGGATAAACTTGAGAGTTTTATAGGTAAATAAACACAACTTGAGACTACACTAATAAGTGAAATAAATCAGATTCACATGTGTAAACATCATAGTGTCTCCCTGGTGTGAGAAACTGAGAGTAAATAAGTTCTAAAATGCACAACAGGTATTATGAAATGGGAAGAAACTGTTCAAAAGGAAAAAGGAACTAGGATGGGTGAAAAGGAAAGGACAGTAGAGAAAAGGGAAAAATACAAATCAGTTATACTATTAGTGTCTCATAGTTCATTGAAAAGGAAGGTTTGTGCCAATATGAATTGTAGAAATTGTTATGTCCATATCTTATAGCCCGAGCTACTACTTTAAAGATAACAGCATATAATGTATTAAGTATTGTTATTCTGCTATTATTTTGTTATACAATTTTGTTCTACTTTTTTTCCATAAAATAAATAAATTTAAAAAGAAGGTTTTAGAAGTGCTTGCCTGGCAAGCATAAGGTCATGAGTTCGATGCCCAGTACCAAAAAAGAGAGAAGGTTTTAGTTTCTGTATCGGTTTCTAACTTTCAGTGTTGCCTTTGGGAAGTGCAAAGCCATCCTTATTGTTGGTAGGTAAACTTGATTGCCTTCCCAACTGCTGGAAACTTTCAGACTATTCTCTACTCTGATGTTCTGAATTTCATGATAATGTGCTTTGATGTGGTCTCTAGCTATGCCGAGTGCTCTGTGGATATTTTCTTTTCTCTTTTTTTCTGAGGTATTGGGTACTGAACTGAGGGACTTTGCAGTGAGCTACACCTCCAGGCTCTTTTTACTTTGAGACAGAGTCTTATTAAGTTACCCAGGCTGAGTTCAAACCCGTAATCCTCCTACCTTAATCTCCCAGGGTGCCTGACAACAGTGGGCATTTTATGGTTAATCTACTGATTCACCTTCCATCAACCTACCATACAAACTATCATTACATTACATTTAATGTACCCTTTTTATTTGAATGTGGTTTTCTAAACCACATAGGTTCTGTGTGCATGTATTTTTATTTATGCAAATCACATTATATCACATTGTTTCTTTGTTTTCACTACATTTGGCTCTAAAAATTTCCTGTGTTTTATGTGTGTATGGTATCTGTTGCTCCCAAATCCTACATCATATGCCACAGTATGCATCCAACATTGTACCTAGCTAAATCTCCCTGTTATGGGCATCCCGTTTGCCTCCAACTCCCTACTGCCAAGAAACAATGCTGTAGAGAACATCCTTGCACAAGTCTCAACAGAGCTCTTAATTTGGCAACTTGAGCCTTTACATTCAGGGAACATGGTCTCACATTTTTCTTTGTTAATTTTTTCCTTCTTATTTTATGGTTCTCTTTCTTGAACTCCAAAAAATGTTGTATTAATCTTATTCTTTTTTCTTTTACTTTTTAAGTTATTTTCTCAACTTTGACCATTTTCCTGTTACTACATCTCTACTTTAATTCACTTTTACATTAATTTTACATTAAATTTCAATAGATTTTTTAACCTCAAAACATACAGTAACCCATTATTTATACATTACTCTCTTCTGTCAATTTCAACTACAGTTCGTAAAAGTTGTCTTCTACACACTCCACAGTTTACATCCCCTTAAGTTCCTTTTTAAATTTTTATTGCTTATGCCTTTTCTTTTGGACATTATTCTCAGTGAGCTGAAAATCACTAGCCGCATGTTAAGATTTAAAAGTGAAACACAGAAAGCTTAACGGAAATTCTGTATGTATGGTTGGCGTTTGTGGAGTAATAAGTTTAGTGGGTCCTCCCCAAACAGAATGCTATTGTCCCAGTTTTCAGATCTGAATGTTACCTTATACGTAAAAGGGGTCTTTGCAAGACAACTAAGTTAAAAATATTCTGATGAGGATATCATCCCGGATTATGCAACGACCCTAAATCCAATGACAAATGTCCTTATAAGAGTGAGGCAGAGAGAGGAAGAAGCAACATGACCACAGAAGGACAGACTGGAGTGATGTGGCTATAAGCCAAAGGAATGCCTGAGGTGCCCAGAAGCTAGAAGAGAAAAATGAATAAATTCTTCCACTGAACCCATGTAGGAAGCACGGGCCTGCCAAATTTTGGATCTGTAGTCTCCAGAACTGTGAAAGAATAAATTTCCACTATTTTAAGTTTCTTATTTTGCACCAATTTATTGCAGCAGATACAGGAAACTAATATGGTGAATCTTTTAGGAGGCGATGAGGTGGAGACCTGTTTCTTTAGTCTCTCCCAAACATCCGGACTAATAGATATATTCTCAAGACATTTTCCCCACAGAAGAATCTTTTGAACTCCTACCAAGTTGCTACGTATCTGAGAAATCAGAAGTGGGCCAGTTTGTGGACTGTGCTTAAACCATCCCATTTCCTTTTCCTGTTTTTCTTTCCTTTCTTTTTTTTTTTGGGGGGGGGGGTTTATTATGCAGTTAAGGCTGGCCTTAAGCTCACTTTGTAGGCCAGGCTGGTCTCAAACCTGCAGTGACTCTCCTGCCTCAGCCTCCTGAGTGCTGGAATTACAAACATGTGCCACCATGCCCAGCAACCCTCCCCATTTTCATTACAACTTATGAAGCTCACCCTAAAAATGCACCTAATATGACTATTCTAACCTTCAATCATCTGCAGAGAGTAAGCCCCCCAACTGGTGCAGACATTGAATGGGCAAACATTCTCAGCACTGTTTGGAGATTAAGACTTAAGCCAATGCAAGGCATAAGAACTTTCAGTCAATATTCTTACCTGTAGCATCATGCGTATTCATTCCAGCTCTCAGGGATACCTGAATTTTCTAGGTTTTGAGTCTTTTATGTGCTCTGTAGGGCCATCAGCTTGCTTTTTAAATTGGCATTCCTTACAAATTGATATTTGCTCTAGGCAATGCCAACCATTACTTATTTTCACATTTCTCATCTGTTGTCATTCCTTTTCTCTTTTCCTCATGCCCCTCTTAAAATTCTTTTCTGTATAATCAGATTTTAAAGAAATGACCAACGAGTCAATCTGTAATGCTTACACACAAATATCCCTTATAACCCGTCATGTGAAGAACCCAGGCCATGCTGACATAATATTAAGTTCAGTTTTGCTTAGCGTCCTGTAAAATACATCTAGCTATCCTAACATACTCCATTCCAGCCTCTTCAGATCACACAACACATCGCACCCCTTCATCTTTGCTGATGGCACAGCACTACCCTTCCTGGAACAGTGACTCTTACATATTGTCTTTAATCATAGTACATAGATTATATCTTGAGCAAAATCCTAATCTTTCACAAAATCAAACCTGATTATTTCAGACTACAGATTTATCCATCCCCCAAATGAATTATGTCTGATATCTGTTGGGGTTGGGGGAGAACCCTCCCATTTCCTGTTACAAGTACATTGACTTTTTGACAAAACATGTTTCTTGAGCGAGCAGGGACCATGTCTTTCAGTTTGTGTGTTCTTCACAAGTACCATGATAGGGGGTACTGAGTACTTGCAAACTGGTATAAATAGATTCAAGTCAACAAATATGGAATTTGATGGCCAGGACATTATCAAATAAGACACTCTTAGTAATAAAATAAGTATCCTATTCAACTTGTTGACAGAAAGCTACTAAGGGGAAAGATGGATGGAAAAATGAATTCTCAGATAGCAGGTTTAGTATTGGGCCACATGCTAAGATGTTTTTAACTCCTTAGAATTATGAAAATGTTTACCATCACATTCCCACTATCTATAACAGCACTGGTACAAAGGGACCGCTCAGTAAATGTCAGTAAAACAAAGGTTAAATGAGTAAGTTTGGCATTAGTTGGCACGCATTCATTTCCAGCTGGTGAAGAAGAGAAACATCTGGCTTACCCAGAAAGCACTCCGAGGACAAGGTTCAAAACAAAGAAGGATCCAATGATGATCAGGGGGATGAAGTACAGCCAGTTCCAGGTGGCTCCTAAGGCATCATTGGTCTGAAAGAAAACAATTGCTCTTTAGCACTTCACACAGGAGAGGATGTAACAAATAAAGTGAAATATGGCTACACACTGCTGCGCCCACCCCAACAGATTTCACTGTGTGTTAACTCACTGCTATGAACACAGTCGAGACACTGCATCAGCACCTCCGTAACATGATGAGTGGGAACAATCTAACAGTCTCACTTAATGGATGAGAAAACTAAAAGCAGAAAAGTCAAGAACTTTCCTAAGACCTTGCAAACACTAACCAGTGTTATCACAGTGCTTTCTGATGTGAGTGAGTCCTAGGCCTTTGCACACTAAATTGGACAAACTCCCAAAAAGACAAAATTAGGCTGCCCATGACACTACCCTGAGGGTACTAACAAGGGCCATAGCAGGCAGAGCTGCTGAGAAAACACTGGAAGTGATCCATACCTTTTCCAGTCCTTGACCTGAGGTCTGAATTTCCTTCTTCTGTCATCATAAAACCTGGCCCAGGCCTTGCCAGCAAGGCTCTGGATGGAACAGGGCATGTCTATGTCTACATTTGAAGAGTGATCACTTTATCTCTCTCTCTCAGACTTTTCAAATGGTTTTCCTGAACTGAAATCACTCCCAATCCCACCTTGTCCCTCCAACACAAAACTTTGATACCCACTTGAAACTCACAATAAGTATTTTATCCTTAATTCAGTAGGGAATTCTGATCATAAAGGTTAGGCATCCTGCCTAAAACTCATATGCTCACTAAGTAAAATCAACACTAGAACTCAGAAAGTGTTTTTCCATTCTTTCAGTTAATAACTTTTCTTCCAACTTGCTATAAAGCTTTGAAAAAAGTTTAATGAGTGTCCTCATGCTTCCTGTGGACTTATATGACACTTTTTTCTCCCAAATTATCTCATTTTCTCTCTGCCTCCCATTCAAATACGTCGGTGCACAGAATTCAGCCGCCCATTGATTATGGCAGCTATCACTGCACCACAGTTGTCCGGGTGGAAGAGCTTGTAAGGCGAGCGCCTTTCAGCAAATTTGTGCCTCTTGTCTTGCTCTTGCACTCCTCAGAGATACAGCATTACAGCTGAAGCAGATTCAAAATTAAAACTAAATAGTGAAACACTTTCTGCCTGAGTGGGACAGAGGCAGAGCTCTACCAACGTCAGTGTCTATGATCTAGCTCTTTGGTTCTGTCAGGCAAGCTAGGGAGACACAGGCAAGACCTCAAACACAGTAATTCTTGATTATCAGAAAAAAGACGTGGAAGAATTGGGTGCCAAGAGCCACAAGCGGCTATAATGGACGTGGGAAGCCACTTTTTCTAATAGTAGAGACATGGGCTGTGAGTATAAAGGCAAGTTGAATGATCCCTAAGTAGCTATTTTTATCTTTATTCATGACAATAAATCAAGAATTCTGCAAAAATAGGTTAGCTCCAATGCTTCACCAAGCGTTCCGAATTAATCAACTTTCTGGTCATTCCTCTTACCATTCTTTGACAGCAAAGGCCAAGTCCATATCTTGCACTGCACTGAGACTCATTTGCCCATAAACATGAAGTCCTATCAGCCAATGACAACAATGCAATGGTGACCTCTAGGGTATTTATGGTCTCACAAGTCACTGAGCTATTGTGGCTTCAGGACAGCACAGAGCAACATCACATGGACGATTCTTTGCAAGGGCTTCTGTAAAGTGAAAATGTCCAGAATTTTTGTGCTTTTCCTTGCTATGATCTATAATATATGAACACGTTTTGTGGGAAACGGGCTTCAATAACTGGAAGAACATGGAAAATATAGCAAATTATGTGTTTCTCAAGCCTGGAAGAAGACCTATGTGCGTGTGTGGGGGAGGGAGCTGTTTACTTTGTTTGCCTCATTTCCTAAATTTCCTGATTGTGGAATATGCTTTTTCAAAAAACATTAACACATCAGGACACAGAGTCTATGAAACAGATGACAAGGCTCTCTTCATTGACAGGGAGTCTGGAATGTGTTTCCCAATCCCTTTATCTGATCTGAACAGTCATTTTCAGTCCCTGTCTTATGAGAAGATTTTGTTTGCTTTAACCTATACTAAGGCAGCAAACTTAACAGTCTTCTTACTTTTATATGTTTTATATATAGCACCTGACAATGGGCGTGGCACACAGAGATACTTAACTAATCAATAAATGGCCACATTTTTAATAAGATATGCCTCTTGTTAATAATACAGTACAAATTCACTCTCTCTAGTATACCCTCTCCATGTATGAAAGCTCCTCTAAACTGCTACAAATACCATCTACCACACCACTAGGTCCTCGTAGATGAAAAATAGAGGAGAAAGAGGAAGAGAAGAAGAAAGCCAGGAAGACACCAGCTTCAGCAGCACCATATGCGAGGGGTTGTTAAAGATGACTGACAGTTTAAAAGGTTCCTCTGGAGAACGCAGCCTGACAGCTCCCCAAGATTACTCACCAGCCTTTTAATAGACTGCCGCACCCTCTGCACACCTAGCACCCTCCCTCCTTCCTTGGAGCTCTTCTGCTCCCATCCTAATGAACCAGGTGGCTTTCTCTCCCCTCCTGTGCTTGTTCACAGGTCAGTGATGCTTCCATCAGGACAAGGGGACATCCCTGAGCAGGAAGTGGGCAAACAAAGCACTTCAGGCCTCTTTCATTTAAATGGCAAGGTCCTTTCTGATGCTAATTAAAGGTTCTATTTCCTTCTGATTCATCATTATCAAAAACCTTAAAATTATCTAGGGTAGGAGCAACATCTACTAAAGTGTCTTTGGAGATTTTAAAAAAGAAACAGCCAACAACCCTGAATGCAGCAAGCGTCCTGACACCAGGCAAAGTGAGAGTCAGAAGAGCACTGGCAGGGCAGCCCCAGAGTTCTGCCTGTTTCTCCCGGGGTCTGTCTCTCAGCAAGAGGACCAGGGTAGGGCACCTGGGTGACAGAAGAATCTCTTTCCTTCTTTCTCTACTATGTTAATAACAGAGTGCCAAGTCTCACAAGCCACTTCCATACTCGGTGACACACTTTACTTTCCCCAGTAAGATCCTAGGGCAGGAGGCTGCAGCTTTTAAAACATGTCCTACTGATTCTAGCCCCAGGAGAGTCCCACAGGGGACCTTCACTACCCCTCCTCCACTGTGGAGCAGTTAAGTGTAAGCCTGGCGCCTACTAGCAAACAATGCTGCCCAAGGCATGGTAGCCTCTTTCTTCTTGCCCATCCACTGAACACCTACTGCCAGCATTAGCTCTGGGCATCAACATTGAATTCAGGGATGCTTGCATGGCTAGTGAAGCACAGACTCTGATTACATTTGTGTTCCCAGAGAAGACTGGCCCGTGATTGGGACCTAGTGGGGAGACCTGTCTTCCAATACCTTCCAACTGGTAAGACCTGGAAGACAATGAAAGGTAATGTAAATGTTCTCCTCCAGATCCCCCTTCCCCTATAAATAGGACACTGTTCTCCTCTTGCCTTGGATATCCGAACTCCAAGCCTGAACCAAACTTGAACTCTGGGACTTCCACTGGTGGCATAACAGAGGACTCCTGGGACTTGGCTTGGACCAGCAAGTGCACCATCAGCAACCCTGGTTCTAGGGCACTGGATTCAGACTGAGCCAAACTGCTGTCTTCTTTTGTTCTTCAGCTGGCAGACAGTCTGGTATGATACTTCTTAGCCTCTGTTATCACATATCCCAATTCCTGTAATAACCCCTCTCCTATGTCCTATTGGTTCTTTTTCTCTGTCACACCCCAACCAGTAATACCCATCATGTGTCAGTTATTACAGAGAAACGCTTTCTTTGGGTTAGCGTATTCTTATTCAGGCTGCTGATGGCCTTCCCATCTACAACACCTTCCCCTAGGCTGGCAGTCTGGCTGTTCTCCCTCCTCACCTGTCGCTTCCCCACGTGGCACACACGTGCACATGTGCACAAGGCAAGGGAGATGACAGACAGAGAAAGCAGTCTGGAGGTGGCAGCCCACCTGCACAGGAGTGCTCAGCGGGTACCAGTCCTGACATCATGGGAACACATTTCTTTGGGAACCTGCCTGACTGAGGGTGGTGAGCTCACCCACTCCCTGTGTAAACAGGCACACATGGCAATTATCGCATTAATCTTCGGGGGTGGGGTGGGAGAAAAGATGCTGAAAAGTGGGGTGAGAGGAGCAAGATCAGAGAGAAAGATGAAGCAGTAGAGAGCAAAAAGGGGCCCATGGTTCTCTTGGCCTGGAAAGAAGTCTGTACCAGTGTTCCAGGGGGATCTGTAAAAAAACACATCAGAAAGCCCCTTATATAGAAACCCCTTCACAGAGCATCTCACCAGGTAGGCTGAGTGTGTGCAAGGGCTGGAAAGAAGGAAAACACTGATTCCAGGGTGTCTTCAGAAACAAGGGTTTCTGGGGCATTACCTGCTTCCCATGCTGGACGTAGCAGGGGCTACAAAACTGGCCAGTTTATAGCAGGGTTTCCTGGTCCATGGATAACTGCCACTGTGGGACAGATAATGCTTTGTAATAGGGCCTCCCTGTGCTGTTAATTAGCAGCATCCCTGGTGCCTACCCAGTTCATCTTAAAGACTCTTCTAGTTGTGACAATCAAAAATGTCTCCAGAATTTCCAAATGTCCTAAGGGAAAGAGGTAACCGGTGGACATGAGAAAAGCTTTTGGCTGAGAACTGCTGGCCTCAAATCTCCATCTCAAGGAGAGAATGGACTTCACTAATTAACAAAAAGCTCATCTTGGAAGTCCACTGGGGTGATTACTCTGGGCTACTGAAAAGGCCAGAACATTTTTATTTCAGCAAAACCATCTGTCTAACCCCTTGCTAGCCCCTTCCAGTGACAGGGCTATTCAGAGAGCAATTAGGGGGGAAGGAGAGGGTAGAGGTGACAGATACAGCTGTTCCACATCTTCCTGCATAGCCATGCCCTAGGCATCCTGCACCTCACAAGCTGACTTGCCACTCCTGGCCCCCACTTCCTTCCAGCATCAGGACCACA